AATACACATACACTTTTCTCAACAATCTCCCCTTCATGTGTGTGTTCACCGAGTTCTCCCTCAAATTAAAGTTTTTAATAACCGACACATCCAAACATCACTCACCAAACGGGAGCTAACTCAAACATGGAAAAGAGAGCCGAAACAATGTGACTCCATCATCCGCACCATAGCACCAACTGCGGGATCACCAACTCTCCACGGGAGGCAACGTGGTAACTACAACCGAGTGCAATCGCTTAGCCCATATAAACCATCGGCTCTTATACCACTTTATTAAGAAGACACTACATGTGAAACTGACTCAATACACTTCAAGGGACCAACTTGATACAAAAGGTTAACCTATTAGGTCTTGGGTCTTTCCATATATATAAACTATTTTATATTCTCATCTACTTTTCATGTGAGCAACACACAAATGTATTTTTTTCAACATATATAGGTGTGTAATATACATATATATATATATAAGTGTGTGTATTATATATTTATACACTCGTGGGTTAGCGGGGGAAGCGCCTGGATACATGTAATTTAAATGATTGCTTGTCTGTTTCCAATTAATTCTCAATCCAATGTCACATGATTTACCCGTATCTAAAAAAACAAACAAAAAAAAAACAATGATTAAACTTAAAATTTTCTCAATTTTTATTTTTATTTTTTATTATAACCTATAGTCTGTCTCCTTAATTGTTGCCCGTTCACCATGCGCCATGCGCCGCGCCTAGCATTTAACCGATTCTTGCATCAACATTAATAATCACCTGTTAGCATGAGATGAGCCATTTTTTTAGCGCCATTGGTTAGTTTCGATACGTCCCTTTCCAATTATCCAATCCAATAGATTCTTGTATACAACGTCATAAATTTATTTTTTTTTTCCTATTGAAAACATAATTGAATTTTCTTATTATTACTATTATTTATTTTCATTCCCAATATTACTCTTAGGATTATTACACATGCACTTATACGAAACATAACTCTAATATATTACTTGAGGTAATAATAATTTTTTGAAAAGTACTTGAGGTAATAATAATATTACTCAAATAAGCTGGACAAAAATTGGCTGCAAGTGTTTATTTACCATTGAGATACCAACAAGAAAGTTGTTAAATTTTGTCAGTCAGACTTTTTTCTATTTTACTGTCTCCAAGTAGGTTTGAGATACCAATCGGTGATATCACTTTCACAAGTGGGTTTTGTTCACTATTCCCGCTTTATAATATCACACAATATACTATATAAATACACAAATTATATCAGAATATAATACTATTTTCTGTTTTTTTTAATTAATTTTGTTTTTTTTGTCAGGGCATGACAATCATTCATCAATCATTGAATGCTGAATTATTTGTATGCATATATTCCCACCATATATCACGCGTGCACGTTAGGGTTTACTAATTCAATTATATTATATTAATGCATTACTTAATTAATTTCAACTTCCTCATCTTTGGATACTCTCATTATCAGCTAAGGGAGGTTACCTTTTTAATTATTTAATTCCTATAAACAAAGTATACGAAAATGAAAATTGTATATGCAAAATTTCAAGTTTAACTATTCTTTTTTTAACTTTATTATTTATATCATTAAAATGTTAATATCACTATAAAAAATAACCTACATGTTACGAAAGATACTCTGCAGGTTATGAAAAGTAATTTGTGGATTATGAAAAATAACGGGTGCGTTTGGAACTCGTTCTAAAATGATTTTATTTTTTATATGAAAATAAAAATGAAAATGTTTTCATTTTCATTTTGGAATCATTTCTAAAAATGCGTTTGATAGTTTTATTCCAAGATTGTTTTCAGTTTAAAAAAAAACTGAAATTGTGTTTGGTGGTTTAATTTTTAAAAACATATAATAATATTTAAAATAATAATATATTAAATAAATAATATTATTAAATATATTCGGGGGAGCGGGGGCAGTATGACAAGAGTGGGGGTGGGGTGCAGTCGGAGAAGAGTTAGGGGGGTGAGGGGGCAGGGGTCACGAGCTTCGTCAGCGACGTCTCTTCGCAACGGAGGCAGAGGCCGGAGAGAAATATTGAAAGAAAGACAAATGTAAACCCAAAGTGATAATCACCAAAAAAAGATCTGAAACGAAAATGAAAAATAGAAATGAAAAGAGAAAAACGATCTTGTATCGTTTTCAAAAACTTGTGCAAAGAAGAGAAATGGAAAAGACCATTTTCTGTCTTGTTTTTAAGTAATGAATGCACCAAACGTGTTTTTCAAACTAATTTCATTTTCAACACCTCGAAAAATGGGAAAAACGTTTTTAAAAATGATATCAAACGCGCCCAACATTTCAGTTTAGAAAAAATAACCTATAAATTATTAGTAGTATAAGAGAAATTTTAAAACAATGACATAAATAAAATAGTTATCACTTTGATGGTTTTTTTTTTCTGAAAAGTTTCCTTATACTAATTATACTTAGAAACGAGGAACTGTTCGAGAATGTCTCAAAACAAAAATGTTGGAAATTTTTGTGGAAATTAACAAGAAGGAAAACGACATCTTTTTTGGTTGTAATGAAATTATTAATGATGCCAAATTTGACATGACATCATTAAATGAAATCAAGGGCTATGTTGATGAATGCAAGACTTGCAAGGAATATCACCGATAATATTGATATGTATAGAATTATGTCATTAATATTGTGATAGATAGATGAGTAATTTTTTGCATCTAGTTCCTGATAATCTTGTTACGGCAACTCAAAAAAAAAAAAAAATTTGAAATCCCTTTTGTTGCATAGTCAAACGCACATAATAGTGTGCATAAAAAGTCATCATCTAATACTTTTCAATAAGAAAATTTATATAATTGTTTTTTTTTTCGAAAGGAAAAATATTTATTAATTAATAGGAAAATTAATATGATTCTAGAAAAAGGAAAAATTAGAAAGAAAAAAAAAATAGTAATGTGATCTGATTCTGAAAATCTCGTGTAAAGGAGTCATCACTTGGAAAACTGAAAGCCCTTTTGTCGGTTTGCTAGAGAATGCCAAACAGGTAGGCTTAGGGACCTCATACGCGTCATTGTGTTGGCAGGACTACTTTGTTTTTTTTTTTTCTTAAAAAAAAAAAGTATATATACGAAAACTAGGTCAAGGCTTATGATTTTGGCAACCCTTTAAAATTAATGGCCGAATTAAAAAAAAAAAAGCAAATGGTCGAAGGGTTTTTTCTTTTTTAAATAATTTAAATCACTAAGTAGTGTTAGTCAATCAATATAAATCACCAAATCAATTAATAATATCATTAAGTTAGTCAGTAATAAATCAATTTATTAAATAATGATTTAATTAGCATAGTTTATAGGCCATTTCTCTATTCTTTTATAGCTTCATCCATGTGCTAAAAAATAACTCAAACAAACAGTAATTTTGCAGTTTGCGTGTATCCCTTAATTTATTGTGGCAAGGATATATAATACACAATTCATTCAACTATCAGAATTTTATCAAATTTTATTAAATTATTATTTTTGCATTTAAAGTGATTTTAATATCATATGATGGCTCATATTTGTTTGTTGTCTGTAGAATAAGTATTTTGTTCACATCATTATAATTTTTCTTTAAAAAAAAAAAACACCTTTTGCTTAATAATGCACAAATCCTCAAAATTTTATGTCGTACTGCAAAATTATCTGTACATGGGATAAGTATATGTGCGTATTCAGCCAAAAAAAAAAAAAAAAATGTATGCGTTTTCTTGGAAGAGTTTATCCACTCTTTTTTTTGTTATTTTTGTTATCTTTTAATTCATTTTGAGTTGGAGACGTGTAAGTTAGCGATTGCATTCTGTGTCTACAATTACGCATCATCGGCTCCACAGCAGCAGCACCATCTAATAATCTCTCTCTTCTCGAGTCATCTCGTTTTCTAACAATTCAGCCAATGAATATTTTGACTTATATGGGACACGCGTTAGTTTTCTTATCAGAAAGCCTAGATAATCGCACCTACTGTTTTTGAAACTATAAAAAAGAGGTTTTTTTAATAATCTTTCAAAAAATAAATTATTAATAATATTTTATTATTTAATTATTGAATTTATATTAAAATTTATCTATTATATATTTTTTTAATATGATTTAATTTAAATTAAATTTAACGTTTAAAAATTGAGACTACCATTAACACGAACTATCAAAGAATTAAAAAATATTCTATTTTATACCCAATATATATTTCTTATTTCTTTATAGGATTATCAAGTTTTTGAAACTTATAAAAATAAACTTTTAATCATTTTGTTAAATGGGTCCGTCTTGACTCTGTATCCATTATTAGTACCCACAAATATTATAAAATTATCCTTTTCCTTAGAGTTGCCTCCTGTGAATAATAATTATATGTAGGAGCTATTCATATTCAATAAAGTTGTGTCATGTGCGTTCCGATCTAGACCTCCAAACCCCTTCACACTCGTCTCTCTGTGTGTGTAGTTGAAGATATTTATGTCCCCAATTGAAAGTAAAAGTGATTTGTTCTCGCTAGGTATAATATATAGCAGCCTACATAAGGTTGTTAAGAATTGACTTTTTATTTGTTTATTTATTTTTAGATAAAGAATAGTTAACTAGAATCAGAAAAGCATATTTAGGGTCCGTTTAGTTTGTTAATTTGAGTTTTTAATTCGAGTTGAGATGTGACTTTATATGAGAATTTTTTACTGTAGTAAAAAAGTTAAATGTGACTATTTCTGAGAATTTTTTACTGTAACAAAACTCGAATCAGTGAAATGAACGAAAATTTACTTTTTAGTAGAAAAAATAATAATTTACACCGTGACATCCTAATAATCAATTAAGCCAGTTGGCTTTTTAGTAAATAAAGCAACATAAAGAGACATCCACTCTGATTTGGGTGCTGAACGGGGGGGCGGCCAAGAAAATTGACACATTCATTCAAGTTCTCAATCTTAATTTCTTGTTATGTTTTTCAAGAATTGGGCTTTAGTTTTCAATTATGTCTTTGGGATTACAGTTGGGTTGTAGAAAGCGAAAGCATGTGAACCACAATGTGGGGCTAAATATAATCTTACTTACACAACACGTTACAAGAGTTACAATGAATTTCCCTCGGATACACAACTAAGGACATATATGTATCGGAGAATATAGCAATTCAATAAATTACGTTAAAAAATAGATGGAGAATTTTTTTTTTATAATATGATTTTAATGTGAATTGACGTTCATAATCACACGGTACCAATAAGGGCACACGGGTACAGAAGGGGGCTAGGTGCAGGTGGAAGGAGCAAAACCTAACCTAGTATTCTCCAAATCAAATTCCCACAAATGGTTTTGCTGCATAATATTGCCAATGATGGAAGTACCGGGCCAACTGGCTGAAACAAATCCAAGACACTTCTTCTCCGGTGCAATATCAAGAATGTAGCTCTTCACCGGTGGCTCGAAAATAGCCCCATTTGAGAAATGGATCCTTAGTGGTGGCATTTTAGACTCGTCATATCCTGTTGAGTTGAAGCAGAATTCAAACGGTCCTCCGCCAGGGGGTAATAACGTCCCGAACCTTGACGTAAACTTGTTCAATTCACTCGTCACCGGACCATAAACCGGATCGGTGAGGAACGTTAGGCTAGTTCCCGATTCAAGGATTGCTCCCCCTCCAAGACTTGCGTTCCAAGCAACCGATGGTATTCTCAATAGCACGCCTCCTATGGAGATGCCAGAAAGGTTGACACCGTAGAATGGGCCGTAATCGCCACCGAGAACGAGATCTGTGTGCTGCAAACTGCTCGAGCATGATGCCTTATCGGCTTTGTCATGGCCGAAAATGATGTAGTTGGAGAGATTTTTGGGGCTCAAGTGATCAACTAGGCAGTAAGAGAACTTGCCACCAAAATATTGAGCCGCTTTTCTTGTGAATGTGTGGTTGCCAAAGCCAAGCCCCAACACTCCGTCAGCTCCTTTGAAGCCACTCTCTTCGGCGCCCTGAACCGACTCGGTGCAGCCAACAAGGACATCTCTAAGTTTCCTCTTCTTACCATTTGCGAGCCTTACTGATATTGTCTCATTTGCAAAGAAGCCGATTGCAGATGATCCTTCCAAGTACCTAAAAAAATAAAAACAGAGCAGCGACATTAAATGAAAATAAATCATATATATATATATATATATATTTACTTTTTGCAAGGATAAAACACACTGTCCCAAAAGAGAGTGAATACCAAAGTCCCTTTCCCCCTTGTTTTGATACCCAAAAAAATAAAAAATAAAAAAATAAAAATTGTGGCTCATGTGATGCAATACCTACTAAAAATAAGTGGCATTTAAATCTTGTGTTGGATGTAGGTAGAGTGCAGATTATAATACTAACAGATATATATATATATATATATATATCCTCTACTTCATCGCCAATCCATTCACCCCCTGCCTGCCAATACTATTCTTCATAATGATTTCTACCCATAAATCTCCCAACTAACACTTTTAGATCTCAAAACCCCCCAAAAGATTTTTAATTTTTTAACCCCAAACAAAAACTGCTTGAGTACAATTCTGTTAAAGATATATAAGAAACACAAAATAAGTAAGACTGAAGTTCTTGTCTTATACTAGTACTACTACAGTACTACTTTCAAAGATTCAAAGACCAAAAACCCAGAATGTAGAATTTCAATGCAAACCAAAATACAGAACCATCAGCAAGCAATATTAGATAAAACAAATTAAAGAAATGGGTAATTACACACACTCACACTCACACACACACAAACAAATATGATATACCTGTAATCATAGGCACAAGGAGTGAGTGGTGTTGGGCATTTAGAGAGAGAAAAGAGATTGGCAAGCTCAACCTTACACATCTCGGACAAGCATGGAATTGTCTTGAAAGAAGATGACCGATCCGCATGAAACACTCTTCTGTTGTTTAACCTTCCTTTATGTGTTCCACATCTACGTCCACACCTGTACCTACAAATATTTATATATTATTATTCATCCAATTCTTAGACCATATATATATATATACATTCATCCAAGAAATTTTTTAAAAAGTAACATAATAGTCATTTTACAGAAATATCGAATTTATCCTTACCTGCAATGCATCCACGTCAAGTCGCTTCCGGTGTCGGCGACCAGCATGAATCTCTGCCCTGGAGTCCCAACTGTCACGTGAACAAAGTACTCGCCGACTCCGTAGTCAGCGCCGGCGTTCATCGGCATTGCAATGGAGGACGCGGAAGACGACGCCGTTTCGATCCCCATGCGTCTGTGGGACACCATTCTGTGTCGCAAGACGTCGCGGCGGTGAAACTCTATCAATTTTTCCATGGTGGTCTCCGGAATTTGCCATTTTTCCGAGAGTTTCGGAGAGTTTCGGTGCAGCAACTCCAGCCTCGTTGCTCCAACATCAATGATTAGGCCATAATTAATGGCGAAGAAGAAGAAGAATAAGGAGAAGTTGATCATTTTCCTCTCTCTGTCTCTTTTATTAAGAAAGAAGAATAAGAATATTGGATTAATGGAGGAGAAAGAGAGAGAAAGAGAGAGACAGAGGTTATAATGAAGAGGATGGTAAATGAGGAAGATGGATTTGTTTGGCGGTTTGTTGTGGGGCAATGCCATTGTTAGCATTTTGGCTATATATATATATATGCCTGAGGAGGACACAGCTGAAAACAGAAAAAACCAAATGTCTAAAAACGTAAGATAAGAAGTTAAGTGGAAGATTCTTTCGAGCAGATTATTTGATTTAGGACTTGTATATATAGAAATATTGGATCACAAATTTGCTAACTTTATACATAGATTAGAATAAATGGTCAAATTAAGAACCCTAATTAATTTTCATAACAAAAAAATATTATTATTTAAGGATCTCTCTCCCTTTATACACTTCCCCTCTTGATTGGGGAAAGTTAACATTTTGTATACATAGTTAATTTATTAATAATTTTAACTTATTTTTATCCATTTTTTAATTAGAAAAAATCCTGATTTCAAGATGATTATGCTAGATAAGAAATTTTTTTTTTACCCGATTGTGATATTAATTAGAAGGAATATTTACATTTTTACACAATGTGTTTTAGGTTTATTTAAAAACTATACTTTCAATTTTTGATCTCATCAAATGTATACATTTAAAGTAAATTTAATATCTAAATTTTTACATTTTTACAGTCACCTTCAACATAAAATATATAAAGTACCCTTAAATAAAAATGAAAAAAAAAAACTTTAAACTTACAGTTTTAACCTTAAAAATATTCAAAATACCATTGAGATGGGATTTCTTTTTGTGTTTTTAATTTTTATTTTTTGTAATTTTAGAAAGTTTTAGTTTTATTTTCTTTCTTTTTCTTAAAGATAATTTTGTCATTTTAACGGTCAAAATCAATTATTAACTGAGCTAAGAAATAACGTTTCAATAGAAGAAAAAAGAAAAAAAAGATCAAAGATAATTGTATTGTGGTTACAAGCTTACCAGTCTTCAAAATTGGGATTGAAAGATGAGATCTTTTTCGGTATGCCAATATACAGATAGTTCAGGTTTTTTGTCTGTTGGATCTACATAAAATCACGTAAAAGTCAAAAAGTACACATATCTAACAGTTAGAAAAATTTGACGTATCGCTACGCTAGACGTACTAAAAAATCTCCTTTAAAAGATTGAATTCCCTTATCGCCAATTTCACGGGGAAAAAAGACAACTAATTTTTATTTTTTTAGAGAGTTTTTCTGGTAGTCCTTAAAAAAATAAACTACTAGTAGTTCTTGATTTTTTTGATAATCTTTTATTTTTTTAATCATCAAATTTCTATTAAAATATATCTATTTTACATATTTTTTAATCTAATGTTATTTTAATCAAATCTAACAGTAAAAAATTAAAACTATCGCTATTAGAGAAACTCCCATTATTCTTACTAATAATTGGTTAGAAAATTTAGTACATGTAAATAAAGAAGAGAGAGTGGGGCTAGTGCTAGACCCTGCATTCATGGTCCGGGTCACAGGGAAAAGAGTCAACATTTGACATTGCCCAACGTGGCCAGCTGGCTGAAAATGGTTCTCAGAAATTACTCTTTTCTTTTTTTAATTTTAATTCCCCTTCATCTTTTGCCTGTGTTTATTCAATAAATCAATACTTAGCAATACATGTGCTTCCAGAATCTCAGCTATAATTAGATTTGAGAATTTGTGTAATACAAACGTGGATTTCTTCTAGAAATAAATAAGAAAGTATATAAAAATGTCTAGATTATTTACACTGCCGACCTCACTTGTCTCACTTTAATTGACTGATATTTACATTATGCTTATTATTTAACCATTTTAAAATCCTGATAATTTATTTTTGTGCTACATTTTATTTGAAAATAAACATTAACTACATAATTTTTAAGACATTGGGGTAACTAGAGTGAAAACAAAAAAAAGTCAGGTGTCAAAATGAGTAGAAATTTTCAGGGACTTTAGTTAAAATAACCCAAACTAATAAGGTTCTAAAGTAAATGATTTAGGGCTGGCAATCTAAGTAGCGACACAACGACACGATTTAAAACCCGTCCGAAGTTAGTGAGTTTGAGTTTACTATAAATGAGTTTGGATCATAATCGGGTTGACACAATTAGCAAGATTAATAAATAGGTTAGGTTGGGGTTGACTTTCTAACACGAAGTGACACGAATTGACACGATTAACTATATGTCTCATCTGTAATCTAATGATATGTGATATAACATGAAAGTTTATATGACATTAAATACATATAATGTGAATTTTAATATTATTAGGTAAAACTCATTTATTTTTCTTAAAGAAAAAGATAAATTGACCAATAAATAAGTTAAATATGTCTTGACCGTGTTAAATAAGTCATTATTATATTAGTTATTTATTCAATATATTAATTTAAACGGGTTATACAGGTTGACACGATTAACATGATTAATAAATAGGTTGTGTTTGGGTTGACATTTTTAACACGTTTAATAAACAAGTCGTGTTTAGGTTGATATTTTCTGTACGATTAATAAACGGGTTGACACGAACACGACCCACTAACATGAATTGCCACCCTTAGTAAATGTATTAGTAGGTACGTATTCGAGTGAAGTAATTTATGAATACAAAAATTATCTAAGAAAAGAAGTTACAAGTACTAAGCCCCTGTTTAGTATCTTGATTTGAAACCATTGCACGTAGTTTTAGCCTAAAATCCAGTTGAACCTATGTTTGGTAAATTTTAGGGACTTTTTACGGTAGGTCGGCCGATTGAGTCTTTGTTTTTTACTGTTAAATGTGATCAAAATCACATCAGATTTAGAAAGTATGCAGAACAGACAGATTCTAATACAGATTTAATAATTAAAAAGTACAAGACTATTAGCGGTCTATATTTCCAAAGACTACTAGAGAAACTCCCAATTTGTTATTGGGCTATTTTGAAACTTTGACAAGAAGAGAATAGTACATGGTTTACTATGATTTTTGAGAACTTATTATTTATATCATTCTAGATAATTAGGTACTATTGTCTTCTTTAATTTTTTTTATTGATTGATGATAATTATTTATTTTTAAGCAGCGTAGCATAAATAATATTTTTTACTATGTTAAGTAGTATTTCTGCTGTTTCCTTGATAAGAAACTTTGAAACCGGAAACTCCCCTATTTCATAATGAACCCGCGTAGTCCAAACTGTAAATATAGACTCATCAGAAACACGACAACAATTTTTATACAGCTTGTAAGGTTATGTAGAAAATTTTGATTTGAACCACTAAAAGCTTGAGATATCTTCTTTAACAAAAAATAAAAATAAAAATAAAATAAAAGATCAGATTAAATCATACATAAAAGTATCTCAAAAACCAAATCTTTACGAATTATTACATATGGCACATACTTAAAACATTTTAGCAACATATACCATGCAAAATTTTATACTTAAAAATCCTCTCTAAAACACATTAATCATCATCCTAATAAGAGTTTATCTTACATGAATCCACCAGAATATCAAGTTAAAATCATCAATTTAGAAGTAAATATTTGAACAAAATCCCAAGAAACTCCTAAGTGTCAACTTTCAACATGCATGATGATCCAAACATTACAAAAAAAAAAAAATTCCAGACTTTCAAGTAGGATTTCTCTAATTTAATATTTAAAATCTTAGTTTATAACATAAGGACTAAGTTAACTTAAAGAAGAACTCGTTTGGAAGTGAATAGGAGCGTTCCATGCCTCATTTCATAGGGAACCTCAAAGTTGCTCTATTTCATTATATTCCATCCATACCCCAATTCCATTCATTTAATAGCCCTTTGGTGTCATTGAGATAAGAGATGTCGTTTCTAGTCTATCTCTTTCTATTTCTTTATATGGAAAGTTAAAAAATCATCATATAATAATCCAGAAATTGAAATAGAAAAGAAAAAGGGGAGGTTTGTGATGATTTTTCAATCTTTTATACTAAGTAATCTAGTATCCTTATGCATGAAGATAATAAATTCGGTGTTTACCAAAAAATAGGTCTCCGCAAAGTCGTAAGACCATGTATGGGAACTGACGCTTGCCCAATGCTGGAAGGTCAAGGAAGTATAAATGATATAGGACTCAATGGAGCCATTTTATAAATAACCTCTCATGGATTTATTGGCGCGGCGCTTTTTTTCTTGGCAGGAACGAGTTATGATAGAATACGCCTTGTTTATCTCGATGAAAATGGCTTGTTGAGTTTGGCACGATGCCTTTTTAGCATGAAAAATCTAAGAAGTCTGCTTCAGAATTCTGGGTGAGAAATGAAGTGAGAAGAGAGGGAAAAAAATGGTCTGGTCGGAGCTTAGGAGTTTTTTTTTTTTTTTTTTTTTTTTTTTTTTTTAATTAGAGATCTATAGTTCAAAACTCCCCCCCCCCAAAAAAAAAAAAAAACCAAAAAAAAAAAAAAAAAAACAATGTAATATGGTGAAAAGCCTTTTCATGACATGTAGAAGTTGCCACGCTAATAAATTATAATTAGTGTAGCTAGCATATACTGGAAAAACGTTTTGGTGACGTGCAGAGCTAATTATACGAGTAAGTAAAAAAAATTTATGTTTTGGTCTGATACGAACTGCGGTTTCTTGAAGCTGTAGTTAAAATATAGATTTTAAATTCAAACATAAAACAATAGTCATCGATATATATATATATATACATATATATATATATATATATTTGGAAAGGTCAATTCTCTAATTCTCCGAGTAAAAAAAAAAAAAAAGTAAGGTAAATACATGTATAGATATATATGCTGCCACCAGCTGTTTCCAAATGTCCAAATTATATTAATTCACTGATTGCAAGTTGAAGCAAATTAAGACGGTGGTTATAATAAATATTACCAAGAACCCTCCACATATATTCTTGATGGGGGGACGTACTAATATATATAAAAAAGCTATTTATTTATCAATATAATTACCCTCTCTCATTTAAAGTCGGCCTAGCCCGACTCGAAATTACCATTTGGACAGGAGCCGGGTCGAGTAGCCCAAACTTACATCTCTAATAGATGTATAGACGATGATGTATTCTGGACCAATGAGCTAGATTACAAATTAATGGATGTTTTAGCTTAATCAAACTAAAGTTTTCATAATTGTGGTTAAACTTAGAGCACTCTGGCATAAGCCCATCGAAACTTGAGAAAATTTTATGCGCCTGCTATACGTTCCTTATCACAGAATATAATAAGCCGCCAATAATTTATGGTGGAAGCTTAATTTGGATCTTTTAATTTAAGAAAATGCTATGATTCACTTGTTCTTGTAAAAAAACAAGTACCACACTATAATTTCGATTTAATTAAATAGAGAGAGAATTTTATTTATTAAAAAAACGGAAATTAATTTTCATAAGAGAGTCGGGTAAAGTTATTCATAGTAGTGAGTTAAAAAAATTAATGCAAAATCTATATTAAGGAAGATTGTATGACTAACCTCTCTCATTATTGACGAAATAAGTGGGATAGCATTAAAAGTAGTGGTATTTCAATTCCTTCATGATCAATATATGTATGGCCTTTTAATTTTCTTCTTGTTTTTTTGGGGCTTTTCTATCTATTGCATGCACAGCATTAATTAGATGATAAGGTTCGTATAGAAAGGAAAGTCCTAATTAAAATTGTCGTTCATTTGCATGACTTCAGTACTTGGGTCATTATTTGTGAGTCTCGATTGATTGGGGCAAGATATAAAAATAAGTAACATAAATTGGAGGGAAATAAATTATGTAATAAAGTGTGTATTGGTACGTACAGAGCAACAAGTATTCAGAGAGTTGTAATAGTTCATGATGAAGCAAAATGAGAAAAGCTGGGAATGTTTATCTTTTGCAATATCATATATCTTTTGGTAATTTTAATTTTCTTGAGTCCCTCATATTATTACGATGTACGCATCTGCCCAGATGGAGCAAAACCGATCAATATATATATATATATATCCCTTAATTATAAGCCAATATTTTTCATGACTTTAGTCTTCTTTTTTCCGTTGTTTCTGCTTGGCTTGTTCTCTTTATTATAATTAGTTTTACTGGATAGTAGACAAAGAAAGTGATATCGCCGATCTATTCATATACACACTACGAATTTACGCTCGGTTGGTTGAATTTCTTCACGTAGTCAGTCGGATCGATGATGAACTTACGGTTGGTTGAATTTCTTTACGTAATCAGTCGGATCGTTAGTTTGTAAGTTAGTTTCTTAAGGAGTAGGATTAAATATAAGTCCGGCGGCCATGCGTGTGGTCTAAATCTTGCTGAATAGCAACGCACATAAATCTTCCTCCTTCGTGGCACCGATTGCAAGCCTCATCCGCACAAATTTGTGTCGTCGTTTTTGGAGGTACGACTGCCGATTCTTCATCAAAATTAATGTTTACATGATCATGATGCTGTAATAGAATACTACTTGACATTATCAATATAATCACCATCATCATTATTCTCATCATCCTCAAAAGAAGGAATACGAATGGCTCTGTTAAATTATAAATTATTTTTTGAAAGGGAAATTGTAATATTTAAATAAAAACTGAGAAACATACAACTCGATATAATACTAATAACCCATCAGAGGCACATATGCACCCCTAAGGTATGCAAACGGGAGAAAATCTCAGCACATTAATAACGACCATACTTAAGTCTCTAATTAAAAAAACCCCTCCTATCAAGATAGACATCCGAGCTCCGGAAGGATCTCGAACCCCATGAAGAGAGGACATCAACAACACAATATAGTAAACAATTCTAGCCAAACCAAGAAGTCCACACAATCAGGAAGCATACAAATGGTGTTAAGCTAATCACCGAAAACTAACACCAAACAACAAAACAAAAAAGGGTCAGATAGGGAAACCACCACTCTTATTACAAACATAGAAACTTTGACACAAAAATTAGAGAAAACTAAAGAGATCAAACCAACAACAACGAGCCTCTCAAGATTGAAAATCTGAGAAGAACGGTTGAAACGATGCCGGAAAAGCCTCCCAAAACGGCATCAAAAGCACTTGAAACTCGGCCTTGCCTGGGGCACACGTGGCTCCGCCAATTGGCGATGATTGACACACGCACCGGAACACTTTTCTCGTCTCCCTCCCGCAATCTAATTCCCGGAGTTTCAACGAGATCCCACAGTAAACGCATCCTAGATTTACAGTAAAAGATTAGCAGCCCCTTTCCCTTAAACAGTTCCATTCCGATGGCTTCTCACACTTTTATCGGCACGAACCCATCTTCAATGACCACTGCGAGATGTAGAGGCCAGCAGCCCGGCGAAAAGCGAAACGATCGAGCCTATAACCTAAACTCTTAAGAAACTCTCAAACTCTCTCCCTAACTTTCTCCCTCCAACTTTCTCTGTTATATTTTTTTTATTAAATTATAAATTAGAACACAGAATCAAGTAATTTACATAATACTATCAAATCCCCTTAAATTCAAGAAATTTCCTAATATATATATATATATACATATTTTTTAAAGAGGAAGACTTGATCGATGCTGATGTAAAGAAAACAGCTTCTGGATATCCTTGAAACAGTCGACCATTTTCGGCATTCAAATCATCAGAGTTTCTTGAGCCTTGCAAGAATGGTAGCCATGTGAACCACATATGATAACTCCCCGTCTTTTTACTCGGAAACGCGCCTCATCTCTCTTACCTGCATGCCTCATACAGAAACATCAATAACCATTTCTTACAAATCTATCCTCGAATACATCACAACCATCAATTTGTGGGTTGATTTCGTAATTAAGTTGGTTTTGTTACAGAAGTCAGTTGGCTTCTCTCTTTCTCTATCCCGATCGAATATTGGAATCAATGAGAGTCATTGAAAATGTACATCACATTGGCTGGATTATTACAGCATTCTGTGAAATAAAATGGGATTCCCAGCTTCTACAATGCTTATTCACTAAGCATGCATTAGACAGACAGAATGTTTAGGGGAAGAAGAAAAAAAAAAACAGAAAGATGAATTCGGTTATATGTTGAGATTAACTGAGTCATTAGTCAAGAGCAAGCTGACGTGGAAGACAGCTTAGTGAGAGAGAAAAATTTATAGGCAATTGGAAGAGAGGTAAATTGGAATCAGATAGACCACCGTTTCTCGGAGGATTAAACGCCTAACCATTCGTCTTCATTCAATATTCCTATGACCATTTCCCCTCTCTCTCTCTCTCTCTTAATTTCATTATTTACATAATGATAAGAAAGGAAAAAAGAAAAAAAAAAAAACATGTATTTTCCTAACTGTAGTTTTACTATAATTCTCCTGCGTCTCTTTTTGTTCCATAATTTTCTCTCAATCCTCATACTCGATCATGAATTAATTTAATAGCTCCTGAAGATGGCCAATTGTACGGTGATGAGTACTTTTCAACTTCCACTTGTTCTCATTCTCATTATCATAACCCAGATTTTCCATTTTCCTTTTAATTATTAACAACCCACGTTTCATTTTTCCTTTCTTTAGCTTTCTCTCTCTTGCCCTTTTTCCCTGAAGAAGAAGAAGAAGGGAAAAAAGAAAAAAAGAAAAAAGAGAAAAGACAACAACAACAGATTAACAATATGGTGTAATTTCTCCAACAATTAGACAAAAGATTGATCACACTCTAAAAGTAAAAGGGCCGCTTGTCCCTTTCCAATTCCTGGTTTGTTCATTATTCTCTTCAGTTTGCATTGAAAAGATGAACACAAAACATCATGGATATAATAATAATAATAATAATAATAATAATAATAATAATAAGGAGATCGAGAAAAACAAATTCTTTAATAGATTCTCTTGATTGATGTTTTTGACCTTTTGATGTTGTCTTGTCTCCCATTTCATCACTACGTGCACAACACAAACAGATTTTCATTATTATATTTTCCATACTCATATGTTTAATGAATGAGGATGTTGTCATATTCATAGAAATATGAAAAGGTTCCTATTTATTGCCGCGATCAATCAAAATTACAGGTTTAATTGAGCTCTTGATTCCTTGTACTAGGAAATTGTTGTAAAATACATGTTTCTATTTTTCTAATGATTTTACATTAAATATGCTATGTTTGATCAGAAACGGATATTCTGTCTTCATGTTGATGCTGTTTCTGTGCATGATCGAAGATTACTAGCTTTATTGGTGTCATAGTTTGAGAAGGATTTTCCATAAGCGAATGCGAATCTCATAATTAAGCTGATCAGGAACTGTTGTTGTCGTTGGTGAGGGGTCATTCATTCATGTCTTCAAAGCCTGTCATGGGGCGTGTCTCCTCTGAGGTAAAATCTTTTCTTGCTATCTATGATGCCTTCTTCTACATGCCTTTTCGGGTATTCAAATGATATTTTTATCGCAGATAAGCTGCATTTCTTCTGATGATACCCCATTTGGAGCCCCTAAGAAAGTGCATCCTGTTGACAAAAAAACGGAGCGAATAGCGAAACCAAATGCCTATTCAACAAACTCAAAATCAAAGGCATGTTATGCTGTTAACCACCAGGCATGTGAGCATAAAGAAATGGAGAAGATGCAAACCAATTCAACAGGAGGAGTTACAAATGCAAGGACAAATGACACAAGGGGTCGCAGCGACAGCTTAGAGAACTCAACTACTCCTTTCAAGCCTCACACCGGTGGCGGCGATGTGAGGTGGGATGCCATTAACGCGGTCTCCAAACCCTCCTCGCTTAACCTTAGCCATTTCCGCCTTCTCAAACGCCTTGGCTACGGAGATATTGGGAGCGTGTATCTCGTCGAGCTCAGAGGGACTAAAGCCTATTTTGCCATGAAGGTGATGGACAAGGCATCTCTTGCTAGTAGAAACAAGCTCCTCCGCGCGCACACAGAGAGGGAGATTCTCGGCCTTCTTGACCACCCCTTCCTTCCCACTCTCTACACGTTTTTTGACACCGATAAGTTCTATTGCCTGGTTATGGAGTTCTGTAGCGGAGGTAATCTTCATTCTCTTCGGCAGAAGCAACCTAACAAGTTTTTTACTGAGGAAGCTGCGCGGTTAGTCCCTTTTTCATCTTCAGGTTTTTCTTTTTGCAAGAATTTCAATTCGGAATTCAAAGTGTTATTCTTGCTCGTGCAGATTTTTTGCGTCAGAGGTGTTGTTAGCTCTTGAGTATCTGCACATGCTAGGAATTGTATACAGGGATCTGAAACCGGAAAATGTTCTAGTAAGAGAAGAGGGTCATATCATGCTTTCGGATTTTGATTTATCGCTTCGTTGCTCCGTCAGTCCTACACTTGTCAAGTCATCTTCCGTCCATGGTGGATCCGGGGGCCTTTTAGATGAGGAGTCTGCCGTCCATGGTTGTATGCAGCCATCAAATTTTTTGCCGCGCATTTTGCCGAGCAAGAAGAACCGTAAATCGAAATCGGACTTTGGGGTCTTTGTGAATGGGTCCCTCCCTGAGTTGATGGCGGAGCCGACAAACGTGCGGTCGATGTCATTCGTTGGGACGCACGAGTATCTGGCCCCAGAGATCATCCGGGGAGAGGGTCATGGTAGTGCGGTGGATTGGTGGACCTTCGGCATTTTCTTATACGAGCTTTTACATGGAACGACACCCTTCAAGGGCTCGGGGAACCGGGCTACACTCTTTAACGTTGTTGGCCAGCCATTGAGGTTTCCCGAAACACCGCAAGTGAGTTTTGCGTCTCGTGATCTTATTCGCGGCCTTCTTGTGAAGGAACCGCACAAACGAATTGCATACAAGAGGGGCGCTACAGAAATAAAACAGCATCCATTTTTCCAAGGAGTGAACTGGGCACTCGTCAGAAGTGCCATGCCTCCCCACATACCCGAGCCTGTTGACTTCTCGCAGTATGCTACCAAGGCAGCGCCAACCGCGGTTGCAGATAACAACAAGGCCGCACAAGTGATCCATGCTGCTAAAACTCATATTACTGCTTCTGATGATTCGTCTTACATTGATTTCGAGTACTTCTAGGACCCAGAAAAAAGTTTATTTCATGAATACGACTTTGGTGGAAACTTAACTGTACAAAGAGCAAAAGTTGAAACCAAGTGAACTAATACAAAATTTGGATGTCACTGATATATATATATATATATATATATGTATGTATGTATGTTAGAGGTAATGGGCAGCAAGTATACCATTGGGAATGGCAAGCACATCCCAGGTTGTCTTTTGTTTTATTCTTTCATTCTTTTGTTTTTTTTTTTCAAATTTCATTTCTCTTTGTATACATTTGTAAGTCTGTGATTTACCAATGATCAAGGCATTTTTGTTGATGACTTTGTCGACATGGTGAAATACAGTTTACTTGTATCTTATTTACGATGGCTATCTCAATATCATTTCAAGAGTCAAGGGCAAGACTCTGCGTTTCATATCCATTCCAATCAAATATCATATGAGAAATGCTAGCAGTGAGTGAATGCAGAAAGTGTAGTCCATGTATCAAACAGTTAACACAAAAAATGACAAAAAAAACTGATAAAAAAATAACGTTAGCATTTCTCATATTATATTTCTGATATGAGGTAATATTAAACAGGAGAAGAAAAAATCATATTATATTTTCGGTTCTCACCACAAAAAATGAAAGGAAAAATTAATCTTGAAATTTAATTGACTTTTTTTTTTTCTTGGAAAAATAAGCCCTCCAAAGTCCAAATGTCTCTCAAGTGATCTCTAGTTTAATAGGATTTAATGGGCTATACATCTTATTTCCCTAACAAATAGATTAACCAAAACCTAAAATGGCTTGTTAAATCGGGTAAGTTGGTGCGCTCTATTAGCACCCACTTATTGACCAGTTTTAGCGCGTGCTGGTTTCTATTGGTTGGCTGGTTCCATAGAAAATCTCCATATGGAGATCCATTCTGGTCAATTGGACATAGACCACCAGTTGACCGACCCATGTCAAATCAATGCGGTTTTGAAACAGAAAATATCATCAAGTGGAGGTACGAATTGTTACAACCTCATTAAAAATGTCATGTATAAATTATCTTATGTCAAATTAACTACAAACATTAATTTAACTAATTTATCTAAATTAATTTAACCAATAAATCATTCATAAATCAATTACCCATCTGACCACTCAATTTTAAACCTCTTACAAAAATAACATAAGTTACTAACATGTAAAAAAAAAAAAAGTTGTATTATTTGAGAAAATAGACACCGAACTCATGATTTTGACGAAATGCACTTTCAACTCCAAATTATTTATAATTAAGGTCTAACAAATGTTATTAAAGCCAATTAAAATCACATGTTGAAATGAAGTGGTCGTTTGATTTACGAATTCAAAATTATAATTTAATATTATTTTTAATTTACGTATATTTTTTATAAAAAAAAATTTATAATAATTTATAAATTATTATTAAAATCATGATTCGAATCCTCAAATTAAACATCCCATCAATTGTTCTCTGATTGATGAAAAGAAATCTCTTCACTGGCCCAACCAGGGAGTTGCTTTTTTTTTCCCATTTTCTTTTTCTCTTCTTCTTTTGGGTTGCGACTCAGAAAAGTAAAAGGAAAAGCAATCATTTTTCTTTGGTCTGTAGATTCTTCTTCTTCGTCTGTTTCCTTCTTTCCTACGACTGTAAGTTTCTGTTCTATTTTCCTTTTCCTTTTCTGGGTTCATTTGGAAAAGTACTCATGCGCTGTACAAAATTAAAGCGTTTTATTGGATTTTGGGCAATGGAAATGGAAAAGTTAATCGCTCATACTCATAAGCTTTGGGTTCATTCAGACGACATGATTTGTTTGGGTTGTTTTTTGGTTCTCTTTTTCAATATTGTTTCGGTTTCTTATTGAATTTAGGTGGGAGCGAGATAATATGAATATGGAGGAGGCATTCCATAAGATTAAAGTGGAAAATCCCATCGTCGAAATGGATGGTACCAAATCCCCCATCCCTTTTTTTTTTTAAAATTTTTTTTAAGGAAAACATTACAGAAACCATGATATTTCTTTCTTCAAGACTACTTATGGCAAAGCAAATACTTGAGAGTAAATATCGAATTTGTTTTTATGTAATTGTATAAGTCTACAAGGAAGTATTGCTTCCTCCGTTTCTTTTTGAGTATCTTCAAGATTGTTAATGTGATTGTCTGTCTGTCTACTCTCAAGTCACAGAAAAAAATAAAATAAAAAATAAAAATAAAAATTTGAGTTAATGAGAACAGGCTTACAGCGGGTCCACAGATTGTGAGGATATAGGGCTTTCGTTGATTCGAGTTTTTAATTTGAGTTGAGATGTGATTTTATGTGAGTTTTTTACTGTAACAAAAAAGTTAGATGTGACTGTTTCTTAAAGTTTTTTACTGTAATGAAACTCGAATTATAAACTCAAATCGGTGAAATGAACGGGGTATATACATTCACTTGAAACTAAACTTTCAGAGAGACCCAAAACAATACTTGACTTCTCTTTAACGTTTGAACACCAGAACTGAGTTCTCAACATCTTTTCCTTCCTGTCTGAACATTTGTCCGTCCTTATTTAATGACACAGGGGATGAAATGACTCGAGTTTTTTGGAAGACAATTAAAGATGAGGTAATTCCCAATTACTTGTGACATGACATCCTTAATATCAAGTTCCTAATATAATAATAATAATAATAATAATAATATCAACCACCTTTGACGGTCGGCACCTTTTATATCATGTCGAAGTGATTGTACGCCTTGTTTGATGTTTCACAGCTTATTTTTCCTTTCCTGGAGTTGGATATCAAGTACTTTGACCTTGGCCTTCCGAACCGTGATGCCACCTCTGATAGAGTCACAATTGAAAGTGCTGAAGCTACTCTTAAGTATGTTGTGTAGATTGAATAGCCTTCTAGTTTCCTTTCTCAGTATGCAATATCCTTGAAAAGGAAAATATACGGCTTTTGTTTTTATTCGAAACCTATTGCTTGCTTTCTCATGCTATTTGTTTTGTTAAGATGAGATCTTTGTTGCGTAGCATTCTAGCAACTTAAGAATTTTGCATAAATAAAAGTGAAGCTTATTCCTTGTTTGTTGAACCTATTTGTTCATACTGTTTACATAGCATTTTCATGCCCAAAAAGGAAGGTGATTTTCAAAGCGGATGATTTTGATATATACATACATATATGTATATATTTCTCAATCTACGTAACATGATGCTCATCTATGTCTGTGATGGAATTGTTAAGCTCATGTCTTTTAATCGTGTTATGTGAAAAGAAAGTGATTTCTTTTCATTTTCCTAAAACAATTTTAACGCCTGCTTTTGCCCTCTGAGTACAACATGATTTTGTACTATTCTTTTGCTGTAGGTACAATGTAGCAATAAAGTGTGCAACCGTAACTCCAGGTGTGCATGCCTAACCTAAGTGGAGACACATACATGTTTTTTACTTTGTTCAATAGATTCTAAATGGTACTTGAATGACATTGTGGTGTTTGATAGACGAAGCACGTGTCAAGGAGTTTAACTTGAAGCAAATGTGGAGGAGTCCAAATGGGACAATTCGGAACATTTTAAATGGTCGTTCAATTTCCCTGATGCTTATTTGTCATATGGTACCATTATGCATGTTAAACTGAATGCAAGTAGCATATGCATTTTCTATGCACAACAACAGGTACTGTTTTCCGAGAACCAATTATCTGCAGAAACATTCCTCGCCTTGTGTCTGGTATGTGACTCTTCTTCTCATTTAAAGATGTATTTTCATCTTAGAGCAAAGACCAATTCTCTCTCTCTCTCCCTCTCTCTTGCAGGGTGGACAAAACCTATATGTATTGGAAGGCATGCTTTCGGTGATCAGTACCGAGCAACTGATACAATTATTAAAGGACCTGGAAGACTCAAATTGGTTTATGGTAATCTCTTGAAAAGGCTCCATGAAACTCAATAGTGTTTCACTTTTTATTGAGAACGTGCAGAGTTGTTTCAAAGAAAATAAAATGTTGCTCTCATGTCTTCTGCCATTTATTCATTAGCAAGTGTAATCACAAATTGCAGAACCCGTTGGATTTGAGAAGAAGACGGAGATTGAAGTTTTCCACTTTACTGGCGAAGGAGGTGTAGCTTTATCCATGTATAACACCGATGAGGTTCAATGTCAACTCTCTCCCTTTCCTTTTCAAGTTTATTGAAGAATTACATTTTTATTTATTTTTTATGTGTTTTAAAATGAAAAACAGTCAATCCATGCTTTCGCTGAGGCTTCAATGAACACAGCTTACCAGAAAAAGTGGCCACTTTATTTGAGTACTAAGAATACTATTCTTAAGAAATATGATGGAAGGTACTGCCCTTTTCTTGATCTTTTGTATACAATATTTTCATTAGTACTAAATTACACGGTAGGCCAGCAAGATACTGAGGGGTTCTATGATGCAATAGTAGAACTTACGCTGTCCTTCTCTCACCCTTATTTTTTTTTTCAACTTTTGTGAAGATTCATGGACATTTTCCAGGAAGTATATGAATCCAAATGGAGATCCAAGTTTGAAGCTGCGGGAATTTGGTGATACACGAACCCTTGCAAGCATGCTGGTACTGTTTACGCAGTTGGAGTAATTCTAACTAATAATATTGCCAAATGACGTAGGTATGAACACCGTCTCATTGATGATATGGTTGCTTATGCCCTTAAAAGTGAAGGCGGTTACGTGTGGGCGTGCAAAAATTATGATGGTGATGTGCAGAGTGACTTTTTAGCCCAAGGTTTGTATCATCAATTTTGGTAGAAGTCTGGTCGTTATGGTCTATATCTATTAAAGTTCATATCCAAGAGTTTTGGAACTGAATTGGAAAAGGTGTTTGCTCTGGAGACTTGATATATCTTTTCTCATTATGGTCGTTATCTTTTCTCATTCCCCCCATTATGTGGGTCCGACGAAATTATTGTTAAACATGCTTGGGTGTTTAACTACTAGGTTCCATTTCATCACAAGTAATTTCCTTGTCTGTGCAGGTTTTGGATCTTTGGGGCTAATGACGTCAGTGCTGGTAAAATACGTGATGATTTTCGCTGCTTCATCTGGGTTCCATTCCTTTTCACTCTTAAGTACGTGAGAAATTGCTTTGGGTTCCAGGTATGCCCAGATGGAAAGACAATCGAAGCTGAAGCGGCCCATGGCACAGTTACCCGCCATTACCGGGTTCACCAAAAAGGAGGGGAAACAAGCACGAATAGCATAGCGTCAATCTTCGCTTGGACACGAGGTCTTGCTCACAGGTATCAGATTGATGTGTGTCACAGAGTTAACACTAGTGCTTGTACCACATCATCATCATCTTGATGAAATCTATTTCCATTCGAATATGATCAGGGCAAAGTTGGATGGTAATGCGAGGCTGTTGGATTTTACTCAGAAACTTGAAGCTGCTTGTGTTGGAACAGTTGAATCCGGGAGGATGACCAAGGATCTAGCACTTCTTATTCATGGACCTAAGTAAGTACTGTTGAAGTAATTTGCTTTGGCAATTATGAACGTCGTTTTGATTAACAACAAAACATGGAAATTTGTTTTGTTTTGTTTTTGGGTTTGGTCTAGGATCACTAGGTCTCAATATCTTAACACGGAAGAATTCATTGATGCGGTAGCAGAGGAGCTCAGAGTTCGATTGTCTTGCAAAGCAAAGTTGTGAACCAAAAAGAAAAAAGGCCACTGACTTGGCATATTTGGTCAGGATCTTAATGTGGCATTTTTCTTTTGTCACTAAATGGTCATTTAAAAAAATATTAATAATAATAAAATAAACCTGCTCCATAGCTGACTGGGTAGTTTCAGGGGAAGATTTGTACCTTGCTCTTTTTTTTAAGAGGAAAAAAAAATGGTGTTCTAGTTGAGTTATTATTATTTGTGGTGGGAATCACTATTATGTTTTTGAGCCAACTACAAAACGCTATTGAATTTGAATTTATTGGTATTTTATGTTGCTCTATTATGGTAGACTTGTTTTATAGGCATTTTATGTTTCTCTATTTTAGTGTAGACTTGTTTTATAGGTATTTTATGTCTGATGTCAAATACAACTTAACAAAAAAAATGATGTCAACTACAAGCAGAATAAGTTGACAGAGTAATAAGCCAACTAAAAAACAATTGGTTCCTACGACCCTAAATTGTAGTACTACTACTAGGTAAAGAGTGTGTTCAATGCATTGCTAAATTAAAGTATCAATGTTAAATTTTGGCATTTGTGTAGAAGAATCACTTCCAATGTAATGCTGCTATTCTTGGTATTACCACTTTATTACCAACTTTATTTGAAAAATTAACCGAATCCACTACCACCCTAAGGCACTAACAAATTAAGAAAAGAAGCCACATATCGTGGCTTTGATCAGAAATTCGCAAGTTGTTTGAGACGGCCAAAAGTTCTTCAAAACCCTTGAGCGTTTAAGACTCGTGAAGGTGAAGCCATGGGAAAGACCTTTGCAGCTGAGCCGACGTAAAAAACTTCCGTTGTCATGTCTGCCCTCAACTTGTTGAAGATGATATGATAGAAGACCTCTTTATTTCACATGCTTTTCTCTCTTTCATTCACATGGAAGCTCCATTGGCAGGCTTACTACACTCGTCATATTTTTCTCGTCCACGGCTAAAATCCCGACAGACAGACGCTAAGTCTCATGTGTCATATGATCAACATGATGTTGCCTCACCTCGGTTGGATATAGTCATCAAGATCCTGTTCCTTGGGAGGATGATGAAAGCTCAGTTTCTATTTCCATGCTGTCTTTCAGAAACCAGTCCAAAAATGTTTAACCCACCATTTAGCTTTTCAAAGGTTTTGTCCCAAATTTTGAGGCCTCTGAGCTTGAATATTCTCCTGCAATACTAAATTGAAATGAAATGTGAAGAACAAAGTTACTATGTTATTAAGATAAAAGGTTATAAGCATACACCAGAAACGAAAGAGGAAAAGGAAGATGTTTCTTCACTCTGTTCCCCCATTTGTCTCCAGCCGATGGTTACAAAAGCCTTTCCATAGTGGCATTTATTCTTCCAAAAAGAACAAAAACAAACGTCTTTTCTTGCTATTTTCATTTGTAGGTCCGTAAAGTCGATTCACCATATAAAAAATAGAAAATAAAAAATAAAACAAAAGTAAAGAACAAAAAATCTCGACAGATCAAGAAACCAGGATTTTTTTTTTTTTTTTTTTTGGTACCGTGCAGCACAAATCAGATATCAGATTCTCCTCTCAAAAAACACTAGTGTCGAGCTACAGCCACAGAGACCTTTTAAAAAGGTTCAAACACCAGAAGGAAGAAAACAGTTCAAGTTAAAGAGAAAGCTGAGGCATACCGGACGCAGGTGAGTTGATTCTCATAACGGCCGGTTTTGCGGGCGCTCGACCTTTGCGCAACTACAGCTCACAACAGGAATTCATTGAAGTCCTTTTCTAGAACTGGTCGGGTAGTTGTGGCACATGCAAAAAACAATACAAAAACATATGAAAAACTCCGCATACAAATGTAAACAAAGGCTTGCGAGTGACCAGCTAACTACCCTTCTCATCTCATTCACCTGCAGGACAAAAAAGTAATTGACGCAAGACCAAATGAGAGGAGATAGAATTAAGACAGAGAAATAGAACCACGCGAGATTAGAGAGACAAAGGAAAACATAGAATTCTAGACAGAGAACAAGAACCCAAGAGCGAGAAAATTGAAATCTCAGTGTTCATTCATCAACCAAATCTATAAAGCCATAACTACCTTCATGGGCAAACCAAATAACAAACTAGAAAACTAAGGATAATCCCTAAAATCTAAATAACATAAATCCCTAATTAAACCGAATCTCCATTAGTAATATTCTCAATTGAGAAAAATGAAGAAAACAGATGCGAATAAACTTAATATTCTCAATCGAGTCATTGAATTCCAACAAAGACGCAGTTTTCTGACCTGCTCTTTGTTTGCTTCAGATTGAGAATTCTATTTTCCAGAGCAGCAAGCATGCAAGCATCTGGATGTATTCCTTTAGAAGACATTTCATCAATTAGGCTCGCGGCTCCATCCACATCTCCTCTATCATAACAGCTTGACAGAAGAGCAGTATAGGCCACTACATCAGGTTCTATTCCTCTTCGAACCATTTCTTTAAAAAGCGCAAGAGCAACCTCAAATTTCTCTAGCTTACTGTAGCCGTCTATTAGAACAGTACAAAGAATTACGTCAGGAGTTATTTTCATTTCCTGCATTTCAGTCAAAACAGATGAGATATGCATTGATGTTTCTTTTTGTTTCGTTGCGTTTAGATGGGCGTGGTGGTCAGATTTGAACAGGGCATCAAGCAAAACTGTGTAAGTCACAATATCAGGTTCGATGCCTTTGCTTTTCATACAGCGGAGGAGATCAAAGGCCTCCTGCAGGCAATTCTCTCTGCAGTAGCCGTTGATCATCGTCGGGTAGCCAATGACATCAGGAGTTAACCCTCTCTCAACCAAACTGTCGAAAATCTGGCGGGCCTTTTTCACATTCCCGGCCCGGGAGAGGGAAGACACGAGTCTGTTGCACATCACTTTCCCGGGTTTCATTTTCATGGCTAACATTGTTTCGAACAAGAAAACAGCTCTGTCGTTCTGACCTTCCACACATAATTTGCAGAGTAGTTTAAGGAAGCTAGTTTCACCTACCGGAATCCCTTGCTTCAACAACCTAAGAAGAAGCGCATATGCCTTTCTTGTATAGTTTGCTTTACAGTATCCACTAATCATGGCAGAATAACCATCAACACCCCTAACTTCTAATTGATTGAGAAACACTTCGGCTTCTTTCACTTTTCCTCGCAGGCATAAATTTTCAATTATCACCTCATATGTAGACGACTCCGGTTTTACACCCTGCGCGTTCATGTAATCTAAAAGTCCAAATGCCTCGGATGCAAGGCCATTTCTAGAAAACCCAGCAGCAAGTACGTTATAAGTGACGATATCGGGCTTGAGACCCTTTTCATTCATTTCCTCCACAACATCCAAGGCATCAACGATATTCCCTTTGAGACAATAGCCCTTAATCAGAGTGGTGTAATGCATAACCTTTACAACCATCCCCTTGATTTTCATCTCTTGGAGCAATTCGACAGCCTGTTCTACTCTCCCCAGTTCGCATAAAGCGTGCGCTACGAGATTATAAGAAACTCCATCAAGATGAATTCCCATACCCTTAACTTCCTCGAATTGATTTACTGCTTCATCAAACATGCGCATCCTACACAAACACTTAAGAATCGAATTAATAATAATGCAATTAGTCCTCATGCCTCTCGAAACCATATCGGCGTGAAGAGCCAAAGCTCTTAACAAATTATAGCCCTTGCAATAGCCCTCGATCATTGCGCTATACACACGTAAGTCGGGAACCACCCCATCATTTTCCATGTCGCGAAATACAGTCTCAGCTTCGCACAGTTTCATCTCGTTACAGAACCCGCGGATCACGACTGCATAAGCAAACCTATCAATGGCGATTTTCTCCTCTTTGCAGGATCGGAGAACTCGGTATGCTAAACCCGATCTCCGGGCGGCACAAAGCCCTTCAATAAGAGCACTATAAGCAAATGGAGAAGGGGTTACCGCAGCTTCCTCCATCTCAAAAAACACGTTAGCAGCTCCATCCAAATCACCCTTTTTACAGAGGGCCTTAATCATAATCACATAAGTGTAATCATCAGGACTAAAACCAATCATCCTCCTTAACTCACCGTACACAACCAAAGCCACATCAACTTCACCGAACTCAATCAAACGGTTAAGAAGAAAGTTAGACGTGAAAATATGAGGAACAAAGCCACTTATCGTATTCGATTGGAAGAGAAAATGAATGGCGCGGTCAAACATGGAAAAACTCACATAAGAATTGATCAAGGCGTTGAAAGCCCGAAATGAAGATTGCCCATCAAGATGTTGGAGGAATTCGGAGATGTCGAGATTCGGGTTTCTTCGAATGATGTCGGAGAAGAGAGAATCCAAGTTGAAGTTGGCGTGTGATAAAATGTTGAGGAGCTCGGCGTAGGAGGAGATTCCGAGCCGAAAGCCGGCTTCTTTGGTTCGGTTAAAGAAGGCGATGGCGAGATTGGGTTGGTTTCTGAGAGCTTGGAGAATTTGGGTTACTGCTTCGTCTTCGTCTTCTTCATCGGAAGATTGTGTTTGTTGTGGGTTGTGGTTTATGATGTTCAAAGAAGACGAAGAAACCCACTTGAGATGAAGAGAAGAAGAAGAGGCATTGAAGATGAATCTGGGAGCACGAGTCAAAGGGAGAAACCGCATGGGAAATGGAATAGGAATCGAGGAGAGGAATTCTTTCGTAAAACCCAGAAGAAGAAGAAGAAGAAGAAGAAGAAGTAGCAGCTTTTTACGGCCTTAAACCCAGCGGCTAATTACTCTTTTTCCTTTCGGTAGAGTTCCTTCTTCCTTTTTATTTTTTTTTTCTTCTCTTTTATAAAATCATTAAGAAAAGTACGTGGTAATTAGATGTTTGTTTTCTTCTTATATTAATAATGACAATTATTTATTTTTAAATAGACTAATATAAATAATATTTTTTACCTCTTAAGGGGTATTTTTAGTTTTTTTTTTTTTTTTTAAACCATTTCGGCACATGTATTAACATGCTCTTGATATGGAAACCATTTCTTCACAATTTCAAAAAAAGATGAATTTTATTTTTATCCCTCAAATTTTAATGCCTTTATCACTTTAGCCCTTGAGTTTTGAAAATTAATCAATACGCCCCACTCAATTTTGGAATGTTATTGAGTTTACCTCTTCTATTTATTTTATGGACGAAATTAATAACGTAACAATGATTGGAGAGATGATTTAACCGATTATTTTTATAAATATCTTAAAAAATATGTATCGTATCTCAAAATGTCTCCTCATTTTTTAAAATATCCAAAACAACTAATGATATATATATAAAAAAAAAAGAGGTCAAAATGTCCCTTTGTTCACTTATGTCTATAATTCAAATAATTTTTTGACGTGGCATGCCATTATAAATGAATGAAATATATTAAGTTTTTAATTAAATCAATAAAAATGATTAAATATGAAAAGATAATAATAAAGAATAAATAAAAAATTGACTTAAAAAAAAGAGAGAAAGAGATAAATAGACCAAAATTTGAGATGAATTAAAATTAATAGGCCAATAGTTTACATAAGTTAATAAATAGGCTAAATTATTGTTTTTGTCCGTAACTTGTCTGGTTATGAACCATAACTTAACAAGTTATTGAGGTATTTGTCCATAATTTGTCTGGCTATGAACCATAACTTGATAAGTTTATTCATAACTTATCTGATTATGAACCATAACTTGACAAATTATGGCCTATTAATTTCTATAACTAAAAATTAGCCTATATACTTTCTTAAGCTTTTCATATTAGCCTATTTTCTACTATTTTCGTAAAAAAAATTATTGCGCAAGGCCTTACACAAGGAGCGCAAAGCCCCGCGCAAGGCCTTGTGCGCTGGGAGCAGGGAGCATGGGTGTGAGATCTGAATGCGGACCTCGCTACGCACATGGTTGCGTACTAAGGTGCACAAGGCCGTGCCTAAGAAAATTCTTAGAAGCATTCTTGAATCAAGCTAGACAACAAATATACACACTTTTAAGCATTCACCCAAACAGTGAGTGCAATATTCAATAAACATTGAAAATTTGGTAAAAAGTTACCTGTTCTTGCATGGAGGCGGCCGCGACGGAAGTTGCAGTCTTCACCGCTCCATTGGGAGTTCTTCATTGTCCGTTCATGTAGAGAAGAAAGAGTGGTTGAAGAGGGTGGTTTGCCGGCAACGGAGACAGAAGAAGGTTGGGGGAGAAGAAGTTGACGGAGAAGAGAAAGAGGCTTGGTTCGCGCGTTTGTTCATTCAATTATACGTAGAATAGAACACAGTAAGTGAGCTGTGAGTTTCATAATAGGAGCAGAGCAAATTAGTCTTTGATAATATGTAACTTTACAATTTAACCATTAATTGGACGCATTGGTGTGAACATCTCCAAAGCAATTGATGCCAACCATAATAGTTCATTATTTTTTTCTAATAAAAAACAGGGAATTTTATTTAGCACACGATTCAAGCAACTGTAGAACAGAATCCGGCTACAATGAATAACAAAAAATGAATACATTTTGCATTTTGTGCTCTTTTCAAGATGAATAATCCCAGAAAAAAAAAAAAACGAACAATCATTAAGAAAATGATAAACTACAGCTTACTACTTCTCAAGTACTAATGTCCCTAATATGTCACAAGTCTACTATCCAAAAAAAAAAAAAAAATCCAATTCTCCAGGAACCAACGGCAACGAGAAATTCTCCCGTGGTTCAGAGAAAATTGAACTGAACTGATTGGAGGAAGTCATTGAAAATATTCCCAACAAAATTTAACCTAGAGTTGAGGATCTAATCTAGAGTTTCTTTTCCTCCCTCTGCTATAAACTGCAGGAAAAAAAAAATGGAATCATTTATTGCGGGATCCTACAAAAATTTGTTTTTCCTTATCCTCAGACTGACAGATGGGCAAAAATGTGTGTTTAGATAAATATTTATCCGTGGAGCACATCTTTCTCTTGTGACTTATTCAAGTGACAAGCTAGAAGAAAGTTTGTGGTCCGGTATAGATGGGCACCGAGATCATACCCGAAAGACGACTCCATCCTCCGAACAAGATCAAAGGCAAGATGTCTTTTATCTTGGGCGCAAAGGAGACACTTGATTAAATGATTGCAAGCTTTTCTCATCATGAAACCCTGCTCCAGAGTATAAACATAAATATTTGTAGCCAGATCCAACTTCCCACTTCCACAGAGACCATAAATCAAATTCACACAACTAGACGGGGGGACGCTCACATTGTACTCCTTGAGAAGAGAGAACATCGTCAAGGCTTCGTCAAATCTTCCTCCCTGACACAGCCCGATGAGCAAAACGGTATATGGCGCCAAATCAAAATCCTTCAATCTGAAATCCATTTCAAGAAGACCTCTAATTGCCTTGTCGAGATCTCCCCTTTTAAAATCTTCCTCTACAGCATTGATTTCTTCCCTATCCCTTCCGGGAAGGTTGGCCTGATATTTCAACCACAGACTAAAAGCTAAGGAATGTTTTCCTCTGCGGGATGACCAAGTCATAAGTGTTATGTAAACAGAAGAGCTGGGTACGCAACCATTCTTCACCATTTGATCAAAGACCGCAAAGGCGTCCTCTTCTTTGTCGGCCCTTTGAAGTCCATCTATAAGCGTTGCGTGCGTAACAGAATCCGGGGAGGGCCCTTTCAATTGCATGTCCTTGAAAAGTTTAAGAGCGCCATTTATGTTTCCGGCCTTGCAGAACCCGTTGATTAGGCTGTTGTAAGTCACAGTGTCGGGCATAACCCCACTATCAGCAAGCTGCGTCAGGATTCTGTACGCCTTAAGGACCAGTCCCGACTCGCACAGTTTCTCAACCACGGCCTGAAGACTCCCACCATCGAGAACCCTGCCGCCCCCTTGCGACAGACGAAGAAACAGCGAAGGGTTTCTCCCTATTTCCATCCTGTAAAATAGCAGGTGGGCTTTCCCCAGCTCACCGGCTTTACAAAGTCCGTGAATAAGAGAATTGAAGGTCACAACAGAAGGAAAACATCCAACCTTGTCCATCTCTTCAAATATCTGTTGCGCCTCCTTGACCAGCCCGTTTCTGCACATACCACAAATGAGAATGGTGTACGTGCACGCGTTGGGGAAGCAATCTCGGTTGGATATCTCGAGATGAAGAGATCGAGCCTCGTCCAAAAGGCCCACATCGCAGAACCCCTTAATCACGGCGCTATAGCAGTAGGCGTCCGGAACCAAACCTTCCCGACTCATGCCGTTGAGCATGTTAAGAGCATCCTCAACCCTGCCTCCATCCGACAACCCCCGGATCATTATGCCGTAAAACACAACGTCGGGCTTCACTCCCGCCTTTATCATTTTTCTGAACCACCCGTGCGCTTCGACGTACCTCTTGGCTTTAAACAAGCCATCGATTAAACAACTGTATCCCTTGAGTCCGACAACATAACCCTCCTTCTCCGACCACCTCATAAAGGCGTAAGCTTCATCGATCCTGCCTAACTGACAGTAGCCATTAAGCAAGGCGTTGTAAGCGACGGTATCGGGACAGCAGCCGCTCTCCTCCATCGTAATGAGAAGCCTGCGCGCTTCGTCGACCCTCTTGGCCTGGCATAAGCCGGAGATTATAATAGTATAAGTCCTCTCATCGGGGGCTAAACCCCTCTCCGCCATTTCGTCAAACATCTTCTGGGCATCCTGGATCTGACCAGACTTGCAGAAGCCGTGAATCAAAATGTTGAAAGTGACCAAATCGGGAGTGCAGTTGGACTCGAGCATCTCATTGTAAAGGGCAAGAGCCAACGAGAAAACCTGTTTTCGCAGCATGAGACACAAGATGACATTGTACGTAAAAACATCGGGCTTGCATCCGAGGTCCCTCATTCGTCCGAAGAATTCCAAGGCCTTCTCAGGCATTCCCGATCCCAAGAATCCCTTGATGGCCGCTCGGAAAGCGTCGGAAGGAATCGGAATCCGGTGTTCCTTCAAGTGTCGGAGAGCGGATTCGAAAGCGTCGTCGTTTTGGGTCTTGAGGAGCATTTGGAGGAAGAGAGTCTCGGAGGCCTTGCTGCGAAGGAAGTCGGAGTTCCAGGCCCAAAGGAAGAAGCGGAACCTTTTCTGAATGGTGTTCGTGTCGTCGGAGTGCTGCCGTTGTTGTTGATGCTGTCTGAGGACGGAAGTGACGATGTGGGGGGAGAGATGAGGGAGAGCGCGGTCGAGGGCTCGCTCCATTGGATCGACGGTTTCGAGGATGGCGAGGATTTCGTTGGAGGTGTCGGAGCGGAGAAACCGCTGAGAAAGACATGGCCGTGGCTGTGGCTGCCGACAGCATTGGGATTTGGGTTTTCTTAAGGAGAAGAAGAAGAAGAAGACGAAGATGTCAGTTGATGAACGATGGGGGAGTAGAGGAGTCATGAGGAGTCATCCATTCGAATTGAAATTTGAATGGGAGTTTCGTACTGCTTTGCTTGCTTTTGCTATTTATAAGGTTTTGGAATTGGCGGCGATTGAACTCAAACTTACCATACCACCCAACATCAACATCATCGTCAACTATGGTTATAGCTCTGTTTCTAGCCCAACCCGTATTCGGCACGGTCCGGTCAGTACTCTTATGGGCGTGCTGACCTGACATGTTTGATGGGCTAAGTTTGGGCTGCGGCCTAAACTTGACCGTAGCCCGTGAAGGCCCGCGGCCCAACCCAAGTGTAATTTGGCCCAAATTCAGATTCGGTCCGGTCCAGGCCCGTCATGAAGCCCTCCAGCCCATGAAGAACGTGACCGTTAGCCCGCGAAGGGCCCAACGGTCACAATCTAAAAAATCTTCCAAAATTCTCTATAAATACCCATTAATTTCACTTTAAATCCCACACAACAATTCATTCTCATTCTATCTCTCATCTTGTTTCTTTCATTTTGATTATAAGCTTTTCTCTCGCAATCACTCATTTTCTTGCCCTTTTATTTAAAAAGTTTAAGTTCAATCAATTTTTAGAGAATGGCCGCAACAAACTTTCCTGATTTCACTGCTCTCCCTGAGCTTGGTGATGAGGCATTTTTCGAGGATGAAATGATGGCTCAAAACCCCACCCCCACCGAACCGAAAAATACCCCGGTTGATAATGTTACAGTGCACAACGAGGAAGCTGGAGAACGCAGCAGGAGAAAAAGATTGCGAACTTCTCCTACATGGCAGCATTTCACAGAAGAGTCCCGACCAAATCCAAAAACAGGTGAAATGGAAATTCGTGCGGTATGTAAATATTGTAAAAAATACTTTTTTAATAAAAATGGTAGGGGTACTGGTAATCTGAATAGACATTGAAAAGCATGTCTATCGTTGCACCAAGGTGGGAGTGTGGACTCCCGTCAACAAACACTATCACTCACATCATAATGGTTGTAAAATTTTACATACGATGCATAACGTGCTCGTGAGGCACTAGCTAAATTTCTAGCTAGTGCCGAATTACCTCTTTCTTTTGCAGATGATGCGGCGTTCTAAGAATTCATACAGACGGCCTTATATCCGCAATTAACATGTTTAAACGTAGTTTGAAACCAGCATTTGGGGGAGAAATTTTTCATCAACGGTGTGCATGTCACATAATCAATTTAGTAGTTCAGGCAGGCATTGAACATATTTCAGCTAATCTAACAAATATTAGAGAATCGTTATCCTTCATATCTAGTTTTGGAGCTCGACTGCAAGAATTCAAACAATATTGTAGGAACAGTCATATGCGCCTAAGAAGGTTCCCAACTTACGTAAGACATAGGTGGAATTCCACCTATTTAATGTTGAAGGATGCACTCCCATATCAACAGCTCATCACAACGTATGTAAATAGTAAGAACAATCAACTATTAATTTTTGATATAGATTGGCAGATTGGTAAGTATTTTTTTAAATTTCTAGAAGTTTTCTATAATGCTATTGAATTACATTCTGAAGTCTATTATCCTACTGCACATTTAGCTTTACATCAACTATTTAATACTTTAGAAACATTTTCTTATTATAGGGATACTGAACTTTTTGAAAATATAGTTAAGCTAATGGAAACTAAATTTAAAAGTTATTGGTCAGGTTGTCCTATGTTATATGCATTAGCAACCATTTTAGATCCTAGATGCGGAGTAGATGAGACTGAATCTTTGATGACTGCTACAGTAGAAAATTTAGGTATTGTTATGCTACTAACTATTATTGATGCTAGAAAAATGTTTATAAAGTTATTTAGTTTGTATGAAGCAAAATACAGCACAGGCTCAAAGGCTCGTCGTGGAGTTTCTTGAAGAAGAAAGAGAAAACGACAGGATCGTCATTAACACAAGCGTCTACCGAACTGGTAAAATATTTTGAAGCAAATTTTGTAATCGATGACGACAAACTGGACATCTTACAGTGGTGGAAGAACAAGACCGATTGTTTTCCAACACTATTCGTAATAGCTCGTGACATTTTGACAACTCCAGTGTCAACGGTAGTATCAGAGCAAATATTTAGTGCAAGCAACCAAATTCTTGAGAGAAGAGGAGCATAATGCATCCAGATATCTTGGAGGGGCTAATGTGCGTTAAAGACTAGGAAGATGCCGAAAGACGAAAACAACAATATGTGGATGATTCAATGCAAGACTATTTTGCTAACTTAGAAATAACAGAATCTTCTGGAAGCACTTAGGTTTTGTAATTTACTTAACCTAGAATACTGCATTCTTTTTTCCTTCGTTAAGGTTTTGTCCCGATCTCCCTATGGGTTTTACTTGGCAAGGTTTTTAATGAGACAATCATTTATGTATACTTATTCGTATTATCTCAATTCAATAAAATCACATCTTTTGGGGGCATATGATATATATTCTTTTTTTTAAAATAAATTTTGTAAAAAAAATTACAAGGGCCTAGGCCTAGGCCCAACCCTGGCCTTTATGGACTAGGGTCGCAGGCCTGGGTCAGGCCTGAGCAAGCCTGGCCCTGGCACAGTCCAGTCTCGTCACATGTCTGGGGTCGAACGTGCCGTGCTGGCTCGGTACGGCACGTTTGACAACTCTAATCTAAATATAGAAATTTAATAATATGGTGTGATAACAATCTAATCTTATTATTTATTATTAATTTTTATTCAATTTATAACAACCGTGAGATTAATATCTTGTGATTAAAATAATAGTACTTATTTAATAATTATATATTAGAGTAACATTAAAGTAGGAACAGAGTTTCACATTTGAATTTTTCACTTTGAATTTTATTTTTACAAGTAAGATGTAGACGCAGTTCAAATCCAAATTGAAATTTATCAATGATTTTACTAAAGTTAGTAGTTAATAAAGTCAAGTTGATCACTAATAAACTTAAAAATATTTATGTTATATTAGTAAACTTAATATAATTCAGTAATAAAAAATTCTGAATTTATGAGTAGAATTTAAAAAATATTTATCTTATATTAGTAAAGTTAATCTAATCAAGTAATCGTAAATCCCGGATTTACATTTTAAATTCAACATTTATGAAAAAAACACTATGTTTTCTGATGGTAAATTCTAGATTTATTGTGTAAATCTAAGATGTATAAATGAATATAAGTTGTGTTCTGATGGTAAATTCTAAATCATTGTGTAAATTCTAAATTACTGTGTAAATTCAAGATGGACAAAGGAATATAAATTGTGTTTTGATGGTAAATCCTAGATTTACATTGTAAATTCAGAATTACAAATAACACAAGATGTATTATGATGATGTATGGAAAATTCATGATTTACGAGTAGAACTTAAATATGTTATCTTATTCTCTTTTTAGTGACGCTCTGAATTTACCATGTAAATCCAAGATTTACAAATGAATATGTTGTATTTTGATGGTAAATCCTGAATTTACTTACGATAAACCTTAGATTTTTCGAGCATAATTAAAATATGTTTATCTTGTATTAGTAAAGTTAATATAATCTAATAACATATTTAGCCATAATAATAATCATTCTTATATCGCTTACTCCTTCAAATTTATAATTTGAGATCTCTGGCTACAGCAATCGGAAGAAAGAACGGCTAGCTATAAGAGAGAAGAGCAAACCCACAAACGACAAATAGAGAGAAGATGGAAAAAGAGATTTAAAGGGAAAGAGAAGAAAAACAAAAGAAAAAAAAGGATAAAATTGAAAAATTCAAAACATAACCTATTAATTTCTAGACATTGGTAAATTAATTATTTACTAAAATAAAATTTAAATTTAAGCTTATTTTCTACAAATTTCCTTATTTTAGTAAACAATTTATCAATAAAAATATTGCAAAATCATCCCTTTTTAGTTGTTAATAAGTTGTTGGGCATCTCAAGTCATTAATCTAATACTCTGTCTATTTTCTATAATTGAACTCATAATTCTAATTTTGTTACAATATTTTTTATCTCACAAAAAATTTAAATTTAAAAATTTCTTCTCTTATAAAATTTTCACGAATAAATCAAACTCACTAACTTAAACACTCGAACCAAATAGACTCTGAGTGTGTATCTGTTTGGAGCAAACCTGAGTCCGTTTGGTACCTAGATTCGTTCCCTGATTCGAATCATGGTTCGTGATTCGCTACAGTATTTTCTCTCACAAAAAATACACGTAAATTAAAAATAATTCTAATCACATAATTTAAATACATGAACCAAACGCCACCTTAATCTAACCAAAGCCGTATCCCATGATGTTACTCCAACTGGTATCCAATTGCCCATCCCCATTCCTTTTTTACCCCCACCACAAAGAAAATTTGAATTTTAAACTCTTTCAAAGAATTTAGGCAGAATTGCTAAAAACTAGCTTTGAAATTATGTAAGGCCCATTTAAAAGATGAGTTCAAACCAGGTGATTTGTACTAAAATTTAAAATTTTATGAGAAAAAACATTATAACAGAACCTTTTAAATTTAAACTTTTTTGTGAGAAAATATTGTTTGAACTAAAACTATGATAGTTTAAACCCTCTAACCACATAAGCACTTAATAGTAATGAAGAAAAACTGAATTGAATAACTTGACATTATTTTTAGGCTGGTAAATCCAGTCTTTTCGGATAGCCTAGTATAAGTAGAAAATAAACTAAAAATCCTATTCTAACTCTGACAGTAAAATAAATCATAATGGAAATAGAAAGCTGATAGGATTCAAACTGTCCTACACCATTTATACAATAAGTTCATCTTCAAGATAATTATACTCGAACGTAAACTCAGTCTTGATCCGCTGACACCTGTATACAAATATCCAAAGGGATTAGAAGATAACGTGTAATTTTAATTCAAAACAAGTGCTACTAGCAAACAAGCCAAATATGATAAATCATCAAGATGATATGCATGTCTTTGTAAGGGGTTGCGCTGGTGAACCCTGAGCTTTTTATTATTTGCAAGGACCCCAAAGTTTTGATCTGGGCATTTAGACTCTAAATTTGACAATCTTTGAAAATGACAATGAATTTTAAGTCCCGATTGCCAAATCCAAACACTGGAGTCCAAATTGCGAAACCATTAAGTTCAGGGAGCACTAGTGTAAAAATTAACCCATGTGTAAATATATGCTAAGATGTTTGTATATAAACATACTCCATTTCACATAAATATTAATAAGCACAAAAATCGAAGTATCCATACCATCCTTGGCCTTTCCCTATTCCTAGATCGTCATTGGCCACATGGAAATCGAAGTACACGTATGTCCCCTGTTCATATTCATCGGTGGCGACTTTCGGCTCCTCGTGCCGCTGAAACCAAGTGTTGTATTTTTTGTGGTATCTCCAAGACTGCTTCTTCAGCTCTTTTGCAGCCAAATATTGTTGATAAGTGTTCTGAAAATTTATTAAGAAAAAAGGGAACACAACATAAGGATATGCTTAAAATACCTGTAATGGAAATGATAAAGATTCAAGAGAGAGGAGATAGAACCGAAGATAGATAAACAGACCACTAGAGAGTTGAGAGGCCAAGAGAGCATAAATAGAGAATTACAGAGAGAACAAGAACTCAAGTGGAAGGAATTCGAAATCACAATATTCATTCATCAGTCAAGTCTTAATTGGAAGCAGTAGGCTACTTCGTAGAAAGATAAAATGTAGTAATAAGATAAACTCAACCTAATAACAAGATAAGTTTCAAGCCAACCTAAATTACCCTCTCCCTAAGAGATAAAATGCCATCTCAAATTGAAAACTAAACACTAAAGACAAAGCATATCCTAATCTTTATCATACTAATAATCAATACAGTAAGTTTGGTACCTGCTGATGATAAAAGGCAAAGAAGAGTGTGTCAATGCCATAAGGTGGTTCGAGACCTAGTCGTTCCCAAAATGCCGGATTGTTAACTATTGGTGCCTGTACTTGTGGGTAGCTAGGAGGAGTAATTGCGGGATGCCTCTGTAGAAAGGAAAAACATTGATACATGTTTCAAGTCGTACATGTGATAAACAGGGGATTAAAGTTAAAGTGTGTGTGTGTGTGTGTGTTTGTGTGTGTAATTGTGCATCCATACCGGAGTATAGTTCCTTGGGCGTTCGGAATCTTTGGGTTGTGGGAGCTTGTAATAAGCAGCATCAAGCATCTGCAAAGTGTACAATTGGTCATGCAGTCCCCCGGAGTTAACAGTTGATGACGCTGTAATATTGTCACCAATGGCACCCAGATCGGAGACACTTCTTCGGCCAATAACACCAAGGCTGCCAGAAGATTGATTGGCCTGTAATGGTTGCCCGGCAGAGGGATCAGTATCTCTTGATACTTGAGCTAGCTCTATTAATGAGCCTGAAACTCCGACCTGCGGAGACCAAGCCACCATGATCAACAGTTGCAGATTTGATGAACCACCTTTCTCAATGCCATACTCAAAAAAAAAAAAAAAAAAGAATGAAACCCCAACTCATAAATAGGCCCAGCATGTGTTTTCTAGGAACAAAATATTCTCATCTCCTAACTGGTATGCTGTTTGTAAAGAGTGCAGAAGAGGCAGATCTATTTTTTCTTTGCTCTGAGTTTGTGGGTTGTGGCTACAGTTGGTGAAAGCTGCCAGCTTCACTTGGTAATACCTTCTTCCCCAGTCTCCTTGATAATAGGGAAAGCTCAAACCTTTGGTAATGGCTGTAGAGGCCAACTTTGTTGAAGCGCTCAATTTTTGCTATATTTGTGTTAGGAACTTGAGATGGAAGACCTTTTGTGGTACAGAGTTCAGGTTGTGGAAAAACACCACACACGCACATAACATATAGGGAAATAGCATTTCAATTTTCATCTTCCTGTGCATTGTTATATCCTGTATCTGTTATAGATTATGAAGCTTTTTCTAGTTTGATTTCTACTTTCTAGAAGTGTTATAATTATCTATTTGCAAATACGTTTGATCATTCTAAGCAAAACAGTACATTTGATCATTCTAAGCAAAAAAGTACATTTGAGAAATGTTTGCATTGTAAGCCTTGTCTATGAAACTTTCAGAATATTTAATAATATTCTTTCTCCGATTCTCTCCTCTTTTTTCTATTTTTTAATAAGGGAAATATTTGTTAAGAAAAATAAAAAGACAGAAAGGTGTCTAACAAACCTGCAAAATACAAACTGAAAAAATAATAAAAGCAAAGAAAAGAAAAGAAAAAGAAAAGCAGCCTAAAAGAACTAAACAAAAGTAAAACCTTTCCACTTCGAGCCCTTAGTTTTTGAGTTTTTCTTCTCAGTCTCTCCTTTTTTTCTTTCCCTAATCACTACTTCACTTCTGGTTCTACCTCACCAGTTGTCATTTCCTTGTGCCTTTTGTTTTCAGCTTTTAATTTAATTCATATAATCCATACTTCAAGCCTTGCAAATTGCAAAACAAAATATCTAAACAGAAGAAAAAACAGTTAACCACCTGTACTAAATTCTGTTAAATTTTGTTTTTTATGTATCGCAGCCAATAATTGAACACCACAGACGAGCACATATAGAGACCACAGCAGTATCAATTATTAAAAAAGAGCATAGTCTGATAGAAAAGGTAATGAAGAAATCATACTGGAGAATCAATGGCATGTGGAGCTTTCAACTCATCCTCATTCATGGTATTCTTTCTGAGTCCAATAGTTGTAGGGTCAGCGGCTGAATCATCCGGTGAATTCTGTTGCTGCTGCTCATCGACTTTTGCATGACCAACTTCTGCAGCATACACGGGCAAATATTCAGTTGTTACGACATCATGCGAATCCAAATCAAACACCCACACGGTGCTCTGTCCATTAAAAATTATGTCCGAGCAATAAAATTAAGGCCAATCTGAAAATTTCATAAATAAAAAATTGGAGGCAAAACCCCCATATCTCAAACACTATTTAGCTTATCTAAATTTCATAAATTATGTCCGGGCCTTTCTGAGGCAAGGCGCAAGCCTCCGGCAGTTTGATGCATGAGCCCCTTTTCAACATCCTGATGCTCTTGTTCTGGGCGCCTCAAGGCAAGCCACATGAAAACATAAAACAGAAGGCTTGGTGGGGAGTGGGGAGTGGGTGTGGGGAAGAGGGATATCAAAACATAAAACAGAAGGCCATTTACAATTGCATTAAACAACTTCTGCACATGAAAGAAAAAGAAAAAAGAATACTGGTACTTTATATTTGATTCGCAGATCCTTTCAATACTTTCGATACATTATGGAAAATCCCCTTGCCAGATCACCCTCATCCCATTCCATAAAGAAGAGATAGAAATAGACCAATTTAAGTAAATAAATAAATAACAGTATCAACATCCTAAAAGCAGGGATTTTTCCCCCTTAAAAGCCAAAATGAAAAATGAGTAACCACTCATGGAAGGAAGATAAAGGGCACCAGATTCTTTTGCGCCAGTTGAAACCAATGCCGATTGATTAGACAATTGATGGACGGAACTTGTCTGCTGCGGCAAGGTGGAAGATGGAACAGTGCCAAGGCCTGACATCTGGACTCCAAGCCCAATACCAGCTTGAGAGACAGAAGCATTTTGAGAAATAAACTGCAAAGATAAGTTGAATGTCAACAAATCAAAGTGACTAAATCTAAGCCACACAAATGAAACACAAATGTTGCTTTTCATGCAATTATGATAATTTCATGTGTACTAAAGGGCAGAAAGAAGAGATATTTCTGAAGATCATGGATAGAATAAAGATGACTGGGAACAAGAGAAGAACCTGTTGCAATAGTGGATTTTGCTGCTGTCCAGAAAACTGCTTATGACCAAGAGGGTTATTGTGATGTGCTTGTTGTAGCCGCTGCATAAATTTCTCCCTCTGATCAGGTTCCGTTTCAGTTCTTCCACGAATCTGCCCCTGGAAATGTAATAACTTCATCAATCAAACAGCATTCTTTGTTGGTCCAATCCATAACTTCTAAGAGAAAAATCCTACTTTTTTGGTCAAGTGATAATATTGTTTATTGACAGAAGCACAGTAAACCACACTTAATAAGTCAAGACAAATAAATAAATAAACACTAGAGATAGTAGATGATGTTAAAGAGCATCTGAAGCAACCTTCCTCCTTAACAAGTGAATACCTTACACTGTTAATTAAACATACAATACTTATCATAAAAGATAAAGGAAAAAAAAATGAATCAAAGAACAAAGTTAAGTCCATTGCTGAGGTAAATTTTGAGGATAAATTGAAGGTGTATGCAACTAAAAAAATTCTATCTTCAAGTGAAATACATTGGCATATCAAGATTAAGGTCGGAATATTGGAGAGGAAACTATTCAGAGTAACATACCGCTTCACTTCCCAGCCTCCATGGCATGCCAGATACCATAGAAGGGGAAAGAACTCGTCCAGAAGAGGCCTCACTAACGTTACTAGAATCAAGCGAGCCAGTTCCATTGTTACTCTTAGCAACTTGAGGCAACATCGTCTTATTACTTGGAGGCAATACAAGAGACTGCACCATGCCACTACTCCCAAGTTTCTCATCCGCTCCCAAAATGTTTCTCTTTGCCATGTCGAATGAAGATGGAACAATGCCAAGGGCACTACTGCCAGGTACTACATTATTGGAACTAAGCGGGACACTAGGCAACGGTTGACTTGAGATTCCGCCTCTACCAATGCCTCTTACAAGTCCAGTATCTGAAAAAGACGGAGATGATCTAAGGCCGGGAAAGCTTCCTGGTTCTTCTTCCCTCATTGGAGTAGAAACATTTACAGAAGATGAAGAACTAGTAGCTCCAGTGCTCTCGGTGCCTCGGACAGAATTTGAACCCGATAGGATTGCAGAAGCAGTTGGAACAACAGATAAATTATGAGATGGAATATTTATGGGTGCGGAAGTTGCATGACTCGCAGCTGGAGTAATTGCAGTTGAAGAACCCATTACACTACTTTTGGAAGGTGGAGTTTTAGCAATTGTCTCAGGAATACTGTCCTGGGAAGTTGCATCTTCAACTGGTTCTCGGACAGAACTACTCTGTTGGTGAGGTGACGTTACAACGGTCTGGCAAAAAAATAAACAAATACATACAAAGATAAAAACACAGTTATTTACAACATTATCAAGTAAGATAAATCATGTCACAGACACGAAGTTGGAAAACCATGACCAAAAAAAGAAAGTTTCATATACGCTCCTTTAAGGTACGGCCAAATGACAAGAAAATACAAACCAACGCCTTCAAATGCATCCAACTATATCCTAATAAATTAAAAGCTTCATCACAAATGGTGTAAAACATACAGGCATTTGAGTTGCTGATGCTACTAAAGACGTCTTCAAGCCAAGAATTTGGTGGACAAAAAAAAACAAATCAAATCAAATTAGTTATCCAAATGGATTCCTTGTGAGTAGTGTACACATGTGTCAATGCATTTATACATATGGTACTCAAGTATAAGCCTGCAAAAGTTTGTTAGACCTCCAAGCCTCAGGTTTGTGTATGCCAGAAGAAGGAATAGGAATATGCAGGGGCAGAAGGGGGATTTAAGTAACATGGAGCCAAGGCAAGGGTAAGGGGCGAGTTGTTAGGATACGGTTATGGTTATGGGGCTGTGTGCCAGGGTAGGATTTGGGAAGTCCTAGCTGGGGCTAAGGAGAGGGTATCGAGAATTAAGTGAGAAGTGAGTCTGTGGAGGTTTGGAGGGGTCCTCGAATTCCCTTCTATCTTTTATTTCCGGCATTGTAATTGTTTTCCCTGTTATCATTTTCATCGTGATTCAATAAAAGGATCCAGGCCAATCTCCTGGTTAATTTCCAGATTCCTGTTATATTTCTTAGTATAATTGCTCGAAGGTGATAGTTCGACGGGAGTCCTAACAAGTTTGGTATCAGAGCACCGATCCATGGCCAACCAACCGGATCGATTCACGTTGATGGAGAGGAGGTTGAATGGGTTCTAGGATTCCTTGCAGTCTTTCGGGGATATGGTGAGCCCCGTCCCTCGCCTCCAAGGAGACGTAATTACCATGGGTGCACGCCTTGGAGAGGTCCAAGGGGAGATGGTTTCGATGGGAACTAAGATCGACGGGATCCAGGGCTCTATCGCTAGACTGGAAGAATTTTTGGTAAGGTAGGCACGCATCGACTAGTCACTGCCCAGACGGCAGCGTGGGGAATTTAATTCTCCAGTGCGGGGAAGAGATGACCAGACTCCTCCACGGAGGGAGGCAGTGCGACCCGCACGAGGCGAGTTCAGCCCGCCAAGGAGGGACCCGGCGAGAGGAAGGATGGGACATCCCTGCCACAGGTCACCGGAGAGAGTGCGAAATCGGGGGCGATCACCGCGGAAAGAAGCTGGAACTTCCGTTATTTCACGGGGAAGATCCTCATGGGTGGATTTTCAGGGCCGAACGCTACTTCTCCATCAACGAGGTGGATGACGACGAGAAAATTCTGGCTGCTTCCGTGTGCATGGAAGGAAGAGCCCTCAGCTGGTACTAGTGGTTGGATTCGCAGGAGCCTTTTGAGGAGTGGCGGGAGCTACGGGCAGCCATTTTTTTCTGGCACGGGATGGGGATCCGACCGAGAGGTTGATGGTGCTCCGTCAAGGGGGAACGGTGGCGGAGTATCGGGAACGGTTTGAAGCTCTGGCGGCGACGCTGAGCGATATTCCGGAGAAAGTATACAGAAGTGCCTTCCTTAACGGCTTGAGAGAAGACATCCGGGCAGAGGTAAAAATGCACAGATCGATTGGGCTGCCCGAAACTATGGATTTAGCCCAGCAAGTGGAAGACAGGCTGGAGGCTGTGGACCGGGAACGTAAGGGTCGGGCGGGTCGGAGCACCCAGGTAGATTTTTGGAATAAACCGGGTATTAATAATAGCCCTAGTTTCTCATAAATTCCAGAGGGCTCCCTTCGATCCCAAACTCCACGCGACACCCCCACGGCCCTGCAACACCGAGATGCACCCGGAGGGTCGGTGGGTGCGACGGCCACCGGCGGCACGTCCTTCCGGAGACTCTCTTACGAGGAAATACAACAGAAATGAGCACGTGGCCTCTGTTTCCGATGCGACGAAAAGTTTAGCCCGGGACACCGCTACAAACTCCGCCAGCTCCAGGTTCTTTTGGTCTCCGGGGAAAACTCCGACCGGGAAAGGGACACACCAGATGACTCGGCGGACGCGACCGCCGGACAGGAGGAGATTATTGAAGGTAAAGTTGATATGTCACTTAATTCCCTTAGGGGATTTGCCTCGGCGAAAACCATGAAGCTGCGAGGAACTATCGGCGACCGGGAAGTCGTCGTGTTGATTGATAGTGGGGCATCCCACAGTTTCATTTCTGCAGAATTGGTGCGAACACTGAGCTTACCAACAGATTTAACTGTACGACACAAAATTCAAGTGGGCAACGGCATGAATTTTCCCCAGAGCAGGGTGTGCCTAGGAGTTCGAGTGCTCATACAAGGGCACTGGGTGGTCGAGGATTTTTTTCCATTTGAATTGGGCAGCGCGGAGGTCGTTCTGGGTATCACATGGCTACGCACCTTAGGTGAGGTTCGAGTTGATTGGGCGAACTTTACCATGAAATTCCATCAGGAGGGGAGTTGGGTCCAATGGACGGGGGACCCATCCCTCAGCTATTCACCGGTAAGTTTTCGTTCCTTGACTCGTTGTTGTCAGGCGCGGGAGGTGGGGGTGCTCCTGCAATTAAACTTGGTAGGAGAGGGACCGCCAGACAGGGAAGCACACATCTTGCCTCCGGAGTTTGGGGGCCTTATCGAGGACTTTCGCCACGTCTTCGATACCCCAAGCGGGCTACCACCGCGTCGAGTACGGACCATTGGATAATCCTGCGAGAGGGAGCGACTCCCCCCAACGTTCGGCCTTACAGGTACCCTCAAATACAAAAGGGGGAGATAGAGAAATTGGTTTCGGACATGCTGGCTTCAGGCATCATAAGGCCTAGCAGCAGTCCCTACTCCAGCCTGGTCCTGTTGGTTAAGAAAAAGGATGGCTCTTGGCGATTTTGCGTGGACTACCGAGCCTTAAACCAGCTCACAGTCCCGGATAAATTTCCGATTCCGATCATCAACGAGCTGTTAGATGAGCTATATGGAGCCACGGTTTTCTCCAAATTGGACTTGAAAGCGGTTACCACCAGATACGTGTGCGGGAAGGCGACGTGGAAAAAACGGTGTTCCGCACTCACGAGGGGCATTACGAGTTTCTCGTTATGCCCTTTGGCCTCACAAACGCGCCGGCCACATTTCAATCGCTCATGAATTCGGTATTTCGCCCTTATCTCTGGAAGTTTGTACTCGTTTTTTTTTATGACATACTAGTTTACAGCAAGTCGTGGGAGGAGCATTGCAGACATTTGCGGCAGGTCCTCATGGTCTTGTAGCAGGAATCCTTATTTGCAAACTTCAAGAAGTGTGTTCGGCCAGAAGAGAGTGGAATACCTAGGCCATGTCATCTCCACTGAGGGTGTGTCTGCTGACCCATCCAAGGTCGAGGCCATGCTTTCGTGGCCTACTCCTTGGAACGTTAAGGAACTACGTGGATTTTTGGAACTCACGGGCTACTATAGGCGATTTGTGAAGGGGTACGGTACCATGGCCCGTCCCTTCACCAATTTGCTTAAAAAGGGGGCTTTCCTTTGGACCAACTTGGAGGACGCAGCTTTCCTCCAGTTGAAGGCAGCAATGACGGAATTACCCGTTTTGGTGATGCCAGACTTTACTAAACTATTTGTGGTAGAGACGGATGCCTCTGGTATGGGGGTAGGAGCGGTCTTAATGCAGGAAGGCCGACCCCTAGCGTACTTTAGTAAGGAGCTATCGGCCACATCCCGGCTGTCGTCCGTATACGAGCGCGAGCTCCTGGCCATCGTGCTCGCTATGCAGAAGTGGAGACATTACCTACTGGGGCGACACTTTGTTGTGCGTTCCGACCAACAAAGCCTAAGGTTTCTACTTGACTAGCGGATTCTTCCTCCAGAGCAACTTCGTTTAGTGGCCAAACTGCTCGGATACGATTTTGAAGTTCAATATAAAAAGGGTACGGCAAACAGGGCCGCCGATGCCTTATCGAGACGAGGAACCGCATCAGACGTCTCTCTGGCTGCCTTGTCTCTTCCCCATCATTTTGACATCGAATGCCTAAAAAAGGAGCAGCAGGCAGACCAGTATTGCGGCCGGCTTATCTCTGCCGTGCGGCATGATCAGCCCCTGCGTGAAGGATTTGGGCTTCGCCAGGGTTTGCTCTACTTCTGGGACCGCGTCGTTATTCCCCCCTCGTCGGACTGGATCACGCGGGTGTTGCATGATTTCCACGACTCGGTGGTGGGGGGGCACTCGGGGTTCTTGCGGACATACAAAAGGATATGTTAGACCTCCAAGCCTCAGGTTTGTGTATGCCAGAAGAAGGAATAGGAATATGTAGGGGCAGAAGGGGGATTTAAGTAACATGGAGCCAAGGCAAGGGTAAGGGGCGAGTTGTTAGGATACGGTTATGGTTATGGGGCTGTGTGCCAGGGTAGGATTGGGAAGGAAGTTAGTTAGAGGGTGGAAATAAGTAGTCCTAGCGGGGGCTAAGGAGAGGGCATCGAGAATTAAGTGAGAGTGAGTCTGTGGAGGTTTGGAGGGGTCCTCGAATTCCCTTCTATCTTTTATTTCCGGCATTGTAATTGTTTTCCCTGTTATCATTTTCATCGTGGTTCAATAAAAGGATCCAGGCCAATCTTCTGGTTAATTTCCAGATTCCTGTTATATTTCTTAGTATAATTGCTCTAAGGTGATAGTTCGATGGGAGTCCTAACAAGTTTGGTATTAGAGCACCGATCCATGGCCAACCAACCGGATCGATTCACGTTGATGGAGAGGAGGTTGAATGGGTTCCAGGATTCCTTGCAGTCCTTCGGGGATATGGTGAGCCCCGTCCCTCGCCTCCAAGGAGACGTGGTTACCATGGGTGCGCGCCTTGGAGAGGTCCAAGGGGAGATGGTGGGTACTAAGATCGACGGGATCCAGGGCTCTATTGCCAGACTGGAAGAAT